AGATAATTCTGGTTAATTGGTTATTTGCTATTATCCTATCTAATAATAGAGAAACATGGTAATTAACCGTAACTTCGCTACCCTTCCCATTGGCTAATCAGCGAGATATGCAAATTAACTGCCAACCAAGATGGCGGCGGACAGCCAGGCAGCTGAAGTGAACAGGAGACTTGCTTGCTCCAGTGATGGAGGAAGCCAACGTTCCCCCCCTGCCGCTGCTGGCCTCTGAGCTGCAGTCTAAGCAACAATGTTGCAAATATAGAAGCTAAACAATCCCCAGAAACATGCTTTCAGCTGGCCGGCCTTGGAGCTGGAGCCGAAACAGTGTTTCAATTATAGAACCAAAACAAACCCAGAGACCTGCTTTCAAAAGCCGAGGTCTCAGAGCTGGAGCCGGGCCTCAGAGCTAAAGCTGACTCTCAGCTCTAGTGACAGCCATACAAGGTAAATAAATCCCCCCCCCAAAAAAAAGAAAAAAAGGAGAGGTTGGGAGCTTAAGTCGCCTGCCAGCCTGAAAATGGCCCTCATCCCCTCAACGGGGCAGACGCTCAATGCAGGAGCTGCCCCCTGGTGGTCAGTGCGCTCCCACAGGGGAGGAGCTTTGCTCAGCCACAAGCCAGGCTGATGGCTGCCAGTACAGCGGTGGTGGTGGGAGCCTCTCCTGCCTCCTCAGCAGTGCTAAGGATTTCCAACTGCAGCTTAGGTCTGCTCCCTGCTGGCAAGTGGACATCCCTCTAGGGCTGCCAGGCTGCCAGAGGGATGTCTGATTGCCATCTTAGGCCCAATCCCCCTGGGGAGAAGGCCTAAGCCAGCAGGTGGTCATCCCCTGAGGGGTCATCCCCTGGGGTCCCAGACTGTGAGAGGGCACAGCCCGGGCTGAGAGACCGTCCCTCCCCCCCCGATTGCACAAACTTTTGTGCACCAGGCCTCTACTTGCATATATAAAAGGCAGTACAATAATATACTTGTTGCCTTTATCTAGCATTCCATTTAATAGAGGACCTATTGAAAGACAGGTAAGTAATATTAAGACAGCTAATGCAGAAAAAACTTGGCAAACCTTTTCTAGCTAAAATAGGTTTCAGGGACATAGTTTCTCTTGTGATGTTGAAATTGAAATGCTGAATTATGGTTAGGTTCCTTTATTTTAATTTAAGATCCCCAGGTCAAAAAGCTTATCTAAAAAATTCTAGTATATCATTTCATTAACCTGGAATGTATTATGATTTGTAAATAGAGAAATACTGTTTCACATGTGAATGCTAGCTTTGAGGTCTCCATAACTGATTGTTCCGGAAAACAGAATTCCATCTATTGTTCTTTGAAATTATTGGCTCTGGTATGATTTGGTCTTTCTTAGATCATTCTTTTTGTTTTGTACTTTTCCCCCCCTTATGTTTCTTCCTTTTTTTCATTCTTTTTTTCTTTTGCTTTTTTATTTATATTGCCGCCCCCCCCCCGCCCCCGCTAGTTGCTTTTCTATTTTTGGTGGTGGGGAGGTGTCATTCTTAATTTCTAAAAGTTACCAGCTTCCAGAGCATGTCATTTAAACACACTTACCAAATATCTCTTATGTTAGCAGCTACTGAGTAGTGAAGAGAACAAAAAATAAAATGAGTTTGGGTCTTAACTTATTATTATTAAGGTTAGGAACACAAGTTAATTATAGAAAAATTAGAGAGTAAATCAACTAAAATATGAATTCCATGTAAGTGCTATAGAATTTAAAGGAAAGTTAATATATAAAAAGTATTTGGAAATACATATAATCCTAGAAATCTCTGACCTGTTTTGGATTATTTTTTAAAAAATATATTTTATTGATTTTTTACAGAGAGGAAGGGAGAGAGAGTTAGAAACATCAATGAGAGAGAAACATCAATCAGCTGCCTCCTGCACACCCTCTACTTGGTTGATGTGCCCACAACCAAGGTACATGCCCTTGACCGGAATTGAACCTGGGACCCCTTCAGTCTTCAGACTGACGCTCTATCCATTGAGCCAAACCAGTTAGGGCTGGAATATTTTGAAAATGACTTTAATAGAAACCTAAGGGCTTGTTGGGGTGATCTCCTATTTGAATAATTTGGTTTTATTTTATTTTTATTTTTTAAAATTTGGGGCTCTAGGTTAGGCAAATTTAGCCAGCTTTTTTTTTTTTAAACATGTTTTTATTGACTTCAGAGAGGAATGGCGAGGGAGAGAGATAGAAACATCAATGATGAGAGAATCATTGATCGGCTGCCTCCTGCATGCCCCCTACTGGGGATCAAGCCCGCAACCTGGGCATGTGCCCTGACTGGAATCGAACTGTGACCTTTTGGTTCATAGGTCGACACTTAAGCACTGAGCAACACTGGCCGACCTGAATTATTTGCCTTTATACTTCTGTTTTACAATGCCAAAAGATAAAATGGTCCTGAACTTGCCATTTTGATTTTGCATGTTTGAGTATTTTATCAGGTTATATTGTTCATTTTAAGGTAAAATTTTTCAAGTATATATTATTTTTAAAAATATATATATTTTTATTGATTTCAGAGAGGAAGGGAGAGGGAGAGAGAAACATCAATGATGAGAGAGAATCATTGGCCGGCTGCCTCCTGCATGCTCTACCGGGGATGGAGCCCACAACCTGGGCATGTGCCCTGACTGGAATCTCACTGTGACCTCCTGGTTCCTAGGTCAGTGCTCAACCACTGAGCCACACCGACTGGGCATTAGTTGACTTCTTTTTATTTCTGAATAATATTCAGTTGTATGGTTGTGCTATAGATTATTCACTCTTTGAAGGATATTTTTCTTATTTCCACTTTTGGGGGACTGTGAATAAAGGTGCAATGAGTACTGTATTTAGATAGTTTTTGAGAAAAGTAGCCCATGGCTATCCCAAGTTACAAGGGAGGCTTAGAAATTGAGTATTTAACTTTTTGCCTTCTTTACCAGAGGAGGACAGAAAAAATGGTATGTTGTAAATGGATTTTGGTAGCTAATTCATGGTGTCAATTGCCAGCAGCTGCTGCTTGGTTTGCTCTTGTTTTTGTTTAGTTTGTTCCAGGAGCTTCCCGAGTTTGAGATATTGCATATGTGAACTGAACTTTTTCTCTCATCACATTGGTTGGTATCTTTGCTGAGTGTAGAATTCTAGGTTGGAAATTAAACTATGGTGTTTGTTGCTGCTGCGCTGTTTTTAAAATTGTAAAATGTATATAATAATGAAATTATTAAACAATAATTGTCCATTTCCCCTACTCCCAGACCTGGTAACCACCATTCAACTTTATGAATTTGATTATTCTAGTTAACTCATATAAGTAGTCACACAGTATTTGTCCTTTTTGAATGGTTTATTTCACCTAGCATAATGTTCTAAAGCTTCATCCATGTTGTAACGTGTGTCAGAATTTTCATACTTTAAGTTTGAATAATAAGTAATTCATTATGTGTGTGTGTGTACACACACACACACACACACACACACCACATGTGCTTATCCATTCATCTATCCATAGAAACTCATGTGGCTTCCACTTTTAGCTATTGTGAATAATGATGCTATGAACATGGCTGTACATATAATCTCTTTAAGACCCTGCTTTCATCTCACTTATATGTGGAATCTAGAACAAAATAAACTAATTAACAAAATAGGTCCAAGACATGGATGCATAGAACAGAATGACAGATCTCAGAGGGGAAGCGGGTGGAGGGGACAGGAAGAGATTAACCAAAGAACATATATGCATATATGCATAGCCCATGGACAAAGACAGTGTGGTGAAGGCCTGGGATGGGGTAGGGGCTGGTTGGAGCGGGGAAAAGGATGGGGAAATGTGGGATATCTGTAATACTGTCAATAATGAAAAAAAAAAAGACCCTGCTTTCAATTTTTTCTGTCTTGTTTGTATTACTGGAAGTGGAATTACTGGACCATATAGTAATTCTATTTTTAATTTTTTGAGTAACTGCCATGTTGTTTTCTATAGTTACTACACTGTTGTACATTATTTTTTTTTAAAATATATTTTAATGATTTTTTACATAGAGGAAGGGAGAGAGAGAGAGAGTTAGAAACATCGATGAGAGAGAAACATCGATCAGCTGCCTCCTGCACACCCCCCACTGGGGATGTGCCTGCAACCAAGGTACATGCCCTTGACTGAAATCGAACCTGGGACCTTTCATTCCACAGGCTGACGCTCAAACCACCGAGCCAAACCAGCTACATTCTTAACAGCAGTATTTATGGTTTCTAATTTCTCTACATCCTCGCCAAAACTATTTTTTATTAACCATCCTGATGGGTGCGAAGTGGTATTTCATTATTATAATCATGTTTTGGTGGCATATTATATTTAGTTATATGCTTGATACTTAAGTAGGTCTCCAGTAAATATTTGTTGAATAAAGTAAAAATAGATGCACAATTGTTTTGTCTCCTTTGAAGATTTGTTGTTGTTTTTAAGGATTTTTGTGAGTTTATTCAAGCCAAGCTATCGATAGTTGCTGGGAAGCAGATCTCAATGTATTGGGATAATGCTCCTGAGAATGGCAGTTTTTCACCTTGTTTTATACAAGATTTGTTGTTTATAAGAGGCTTTTGCATTAGATATATCTTGCTTCTGGATATCACATTTTGCATTGGATTATTGCCAAGGAAAATTTTGACTGGATGCAGGTTTTATCTGTGTTCATATACCAACTGCAAATGGGAAGAGCAGATAAAACTATATGCAGTATAGTGGTAAAATAATTGCTGGATAAAATTCATGGTATTTGAGCTTTTTGTTTAGAATTGCTGTACTTGTAAACCTTAGACTTTAGATTGCATTAGTAAAAGTGGCTTAAGAGCTGCCAGGAAAATCTAAAATCCTTATTTTCTTGAGAATTTGTATTCGAGAGAATCTTTGACTTATATCATGTTTACTCCTTGCCTTGTATTTTATCCTTGCCATTTACTATGATTGCAAGTTTTGCTCACCATGCCTGCTTTCTTGCAGATTTTCTATTTTGTACGCACGTTATTTTGTATATACTGTATATGATGACTTCAGTGAGCAGTGACCGTTCCCGAAGTGCTCGGGAAAAAACACAAATTTCAGCAACACAGGCAACACAACTACAGAAACAAGTAGTACAGGTAAGTTTCTGTGGAAGTCTTGTGGAAATTAAGGGAGCACATGTGCTTTAATGTTCTTTGTAGGAAACCTCAGGATTTTAAATCTCATTTTTAAAAAATAGATAGTATGACCTAGCTGGGTGACTCAGTTGATTTTAGAGAGGGAGTGAGGGAGAACGAGAGAGAAGAAGAAAGAGAGAGAGAAACATTGATTGGTTGTCTCATATGTATCCTGACCAGGATCAAACCTGCAACATGGGTAAATGCCTTTAACTGGGAATTGAACCTGTAACCCTTTAGTGCATGGGACGACACTCCAACCAGCTGAACCACAGCAGCCAGGGCATGAATAGCCTCTTATCAAAGATGAAATACAAGTTATGAAAAATCATAGGTGCAACCCTGCTAATAATGAAAGAAAGCAAGCAAATTTTATTTCTTTGTTTATCAAATAAGTAAGGATTAAATGCTTGGTCTTTTCAAGGGGGGTCAAATGAAATGTGTTGGGAATGTAAACTGTCTCTGTTTCCCACTCAAGTAAAGTCCTTGGGTTGATTTCCAGAGAATCAGATTCTCCAGACTAGAGGAGGGAGGACTCCCTTCTTCCCAATGGTTGTCCCTAAAAGTTTTTCCATGGGCCCTTTGGGGATGGCTCATTTTCTCTAATTAGAAGAAAAACTGCCAACTGAGTTGAGGGAAGGATTTCTAGGCCCGTAGATTACTAATTTTTCTTTTAATAAAACTATTGTGAGAATTTCTCAAAATAGTATTATAAATAAAACTGTGCATGTTCATTTATCCATTAATCCCACGTCAGGAAAATATCCTAAGGAAAAAACCTTAATCGGGAGGCTTTATTTTGTAAGATGTTTATTGCCCAATTCTAAATGTCCATAGAGGAATTCTGAGGTAACCTATCTAGCCGGTTGTAAGAGAGAAATTTATGAGCTCTCATGAATCAGAATAAACCTGAGTTTTTGGGCCCTGGGTCTGCCACTTTACTAGTTAGTTGATTCACTTAAGTCTCTTTGAACCTCAGTTGTTGTTTTTTTAATTTATTTTTTATTGTTGGCAGTATTACAGATGTCCCTCATTTACCCCGCTTTGTCCCCCTCCACCCAGGCCTCAACCCACCCAGGCCTTCACCACACTATTGCCTCTGACCATGGACTATGCATATCCTATCTAATAAAGAGGTAATATGCAAATCGACCAGCACTCCAACACACACCCCCATGTGGACACAAGATGGCTGGCAGGGGAGGGCAGTGGGTGATCAGGCCTGAAGGGGAGGGCAGTTAGGGGGAACCAGGCCTGCAGGGGAGGGCAGTTAGGGGCAATTGGGTGGGCAGGGGAAGGCAGTTAGGGGCAACCAGGCCTGCAGAGGAAGGCAGGTAGGGGTGACCAGGCCAGCAGGGGAGTGCAGTTAGGGGCAATCGGGCCAGCAGGGGAGCAGTTAGGCGTCGATCAGGCTGGCCGGGGCGTGGTTAGGGAGTGATCAGGCTGGCAGGCAGAAGGGGTTAGGGGCAATCAGGCAGGAAGGCAGGCGAGTGGTTGGGAGTCAGCAGTCCTGGATTGTGAGAGGGATGTCCGACTGCCCAGTGGGATCGGGCCTAAATGGGCAGTTGGACATCCCTCGAGGGGTCCCAGATTGGAGAGAGCGCAGGCTGGACTGAAGGACACCCCACCCGCCCCAGTGCACAAAATTTGTATTTTGTATTCATATTAAGTATTCATATTAAGTTCTTTGGTTCATGTCTTCTTATTATCCCACACCCCACCCCTTTATTTTGTTTAATAGATTCCACCTATAATGAGATCATATGATATTTGTCTTTCTCTGACTGGCTTATTTCACTTAGCATGATAATCTCCAGGTCCATCCATGCTGTTGCAAAGGGTAAGAGATGAACCTCTTACCCTTTTTAAAATCATGCTTTGAGAGTTAGAAAAAAAATTTCGAGTTGTATACATTATTCCTGAATATCTTTTTAGATCCCCAGATGTTAACATTTATCTTTTTTTCCCTCCTACAAAGGAGAAACTGCATGCTCCTTTTCCTCTAAACCTCTTGAGAATAAGTTGCAGATGTGGTGCTTCTTTACCTGTAAATACTTGAATATGTATAGTATTTAAAAAACAAAGATACAAGAACTATCTTTTGCATAATAACAGCACAATTTTAAAAATCTGGAAATCACTTCATTAGCCAACTTAATCTATAGATCATATTTATATTTTCTTGGTTGTCCCAATAATGTCCTCTTAAGTTAATTAAGTCCTTACATTGTATTTAGGTTTTAATTCTCTTTGTCTTCTTTAATGTGAAACTTTCTGTTCCATGACATTGGCATATTTGAAAAATAGAGGCCAATTATTTTGTAGAATGTTTCCTAAGTTCAGTTTGTTTGAGAAATTTCCTCATGATTAGGAAGGGGTTACACATTTTTGGTAAAGATAGTACTGTTCTTAGTGTGTCATATCATGATGAACAGAACATAGGTTTGTCCTGTATACTGGTGATCAGTTTTATCATTTAGTTAAAGTGGTGTTTCTCTAGTATCATGTCGGGAAAGAAAAACTAGTTGTTAAAAATTTAAAATGGTGTCTTATATTCTTTGTAGAGAATGGTTGTAAGGAATTAGAAATTGCATAAGATATGGTCAGGAAGTGGTAACCTTTACTCTTAAGGTATATTTCATATAGGTTATGAAATTAGTAATATTTGAAATTATGCTGGGAATTGCCAGGTTTCTGATCAATTGAGAAAGGATGCAAAATAATACTTACAATGTAGCACAACTGTTTAGACATTCAAGAAAAAAAGACTAGTAACCCTAGCTGGTGTGGCTCAGTTGGTTGGAGCCTCATCTGTGTACTGAAAGGTTGCCAGTTGTTTCTGGTTCAATTTCCAGTGGAGGCAACTGATCGATGTTTCTTTCATATGTTGATGTTTCTCTCCCCCTCCCCCCCCAAATTGGTAAAATGTAACCTCAGGTGACAATGAAAAAAAAAAAAAAGACTAGTAGACTATGTTAATGATATTTATCTTTGGGTGATGGGCATAAGGATAATTTAAAAATATAATCCAGCTATTATATTTTCCAAATTTTCTGGGTGACATCCAACAAAAAACATTTGCGTATACTACGAAAGGTTAAAGTTGATGGTGTGTGGGCAGGCTAAATAGGAATCTCAGATGGTGAATAAAGAAAAATTGCATTTATTTAAAGCAAAGGGGATAGGGATATCCAAAGGGAGGGGCTACACAGCACTGAGCTAAGGAGTATTGGGTCAATGATAGCAGCCCCTAGGACAGTGATGGCAAACCTATGACACTCATTTTTTTGGTTGATTTTTCTTTGTTAAATGGCATTTAAATATATAAAATAAATATCAAAAATATAAGTCTTTGTTTTACTATGGTTGCAAATATCAAAAAAATTTCTATATGTGACACGGCACCAGAGTTAAGTTAGGGTTTTTCAAAATGCTGACACGCCGAGCTCAAAAGGTTCGCCATCACTGCCCTAGGAGATGGAGACTCTTCCTTATATGCAGTCACTGGTGGGAAGCTTTTATAGTCAGTGAATTCTGGGGTCTTGGTTGATGGGTTTAGGCAGTGGGGTTGGGTCAACAGGACTGTGGATGGATGATTGGGCGCTTCTTGGCAGTTTTAGTTCTTTATATGGTTGATTCCTAGTGTCCTCCATTTCTTGTCTAGCAAGTCTTCCTGGTCTTTGTTCTCCTGTGGCGGGAAGCTTACAAAATGGCTGTTAAGAATTATATTGCCTTGTAAGTCCTAACATACTATAAAAGCTATCAACACTTTATTATGAAAGTAGTTTAGCTCATTATAAGCCAAGTGAATGGAAGAGAGATCCAGAGGAAGAGATTAGTAATGCTGCTTTTCTTGGCAAGAATTTTTCAACTTGACAGTTGTGTTGATGTCACTGATGTTTGTTGTAGGAGAGGGTGCACTAATGTTTAACTTCGAATTGCCAGTTGATTCTGCTTATTCCTCTGATTTCACAAGATATACAGACCTCTTCTCAGTTGTTTGAGCTCAGCCTGGCAAATTTTTTATCATACTCTTAATTTCTGTTTGTTGTTTATCTGATGCTTAATTTTCTTTTGTTTTCCTGGCTGAAGGATAATTTTTATTACTTTTATGTACAGAAAACTCAACAATGTACACTTAGCCCATCTTGGTGGCCAGCTTTTTATCCTTGGCCGTTTCTAGCTTAGCAATGCGAGCCACTGACTTTGGACCCAGGATGTTGCATCCCCATTGGCACGGATCTCATCATATCTGTTGTAATTGGTCTGGATAGCCTCCACCAGCTTAGCCAGAGCACCTTTGTCTTCTGTGTGAAGGTGACGGTGGTGCAGGTCTTCCTGTGGACTAGACGTCCTAGCTTGGCCTTCCCCTTGATAATGCAGTAGGGAACCCACATCTTATGGCACAGGGCAGGCAGGTAGACATTCAGCTCAATGGGATCGTCATGTGCAATCGTCTACCAGCTGTGCCTTCTTGTTCTCACCAGGGTGGTGACAGTGTTACCCCTGCCCAAAGGACAGGTGGCTCCTTGGTGGAGAAATCTCCTTTCCCTGACAGCTTTTTTCTCAGCCTGGGCCAATAATCTCTCTTCTTGCTCTGTCTCTGGTCTGTACTTGTGGGTCAGCTTTAGCAGTTGAGTTGCTATTTGGCCCTTCCAAGGCCTGGGTGAACTGGTTAATGGCAGGAGGCACTTTCAGACGCTTATAAAGAATGGCCCTTTGCCACTACAACTGAATGTAGCAGGGGCATTTGACAAAATGGGTGAGGTCCCTTTGGGTTGTATGTCCTCTCCAATGCCAGAATTCTTGGGCCTTTTCTCAAACGGGATTTACCCCTTTCTTGGCCTGCTTCTCCATGACAGCAGAGACCTGCAAACACCTTCTCTTTAGCCTTCTTTCTTTTTGGTATCTTGGGCGGCAGGAGGAAAGAGCTAATTTTCTTCTTGACTAGGGTAATTGGCAAAGGTAAAAATATTTAAAGGCCTAATTGAAAATATTTTATATTTCATTAATATTCTATGCTAGTATTGCAAAACTGTACTTGTTAAACAGCTGTTAAGTGCCTCAGCTGTGTTTTCAGAAGTTACTTCTATTTGGTCTGTACCCTTTCAAGAATAAAACGGATGATATTATTGAATTGAAATAAAAAGCACATTTGAGTCATAGTACTTAAGCTTAAAAAACTAAGTCTGAATAAATTAGTAATTGGTATTTACCTTATATATGGTAGTAAATAGTGAATTACCCTTGTGGGTGAAATAGTGTCAACTTTGAAATGAAATATATTTTAATAAACACTGCCTTTATAATTATTCAAAGTGTGTTTATACATTTTTGGGATGTATATACATCCATAATATCCTTATATTATGGATGTATATACAAATAAGGTATAAATTGGATCTTTATAGTGTTTATAGTATATAGTATATCTCCCTTTGGACATATACATTCATATATTGTGGCTATGTATACAAATTAGGTATAAATTTGATATCTATACTGTTTAGGTAGTAATGAAAAATTAGTAAAATGCAGGACCTATCTAGGTAGTCAGTAAACATTATGCTAATAGATATTCACAATAAATTGTGTATGTGTTTTCCTACAAAGTAATGTGTTTATATTCTGGGGTTTTTTTTTTATATCAGAAAAACATGTATGTGCCAAATAAATAGTTTTGATACTAGATGGTTACATTATGGGTCACAGTAATTTTCTTGTGGGGTATGTGAAAATTTTGTAATTTAAGGAAATTTAATTGTTTGAAGCAATGAGTATTAGTGTGCTTGGAAGGGACCACTGGTGGTCCTTGAGGTCCAAAAGGTTGATGACCACTGGCCTAATGTGCAGGTAGGTAAAGTGAGAGTATATATAAGGTCCTATATACACTGGGTAGCATTGAGGTTAAATTGGCTACGTGAGAAGACAGAGTTTCTGTACAAACATTTTTCTGGTTGGAATGGTGTAGCACTGTAGTGGTTCAAATGAGGTCACAATAGGCAGGCATAGGTTGGAATGAAAGGATTGGCCATTAGATTGGAGGGAACAGGCCAAAGCTAGCTGGATCTTGTATAAGGACTAGGGGTTATTTGAAATATACACTGAGTCGCCAGATTATGATGACCACCTGATGTTTGTAGGCAAATTAGCTATAATTTCACGCTGAAGTTGCTAGAGGGCCAGATCATTATAAATAGGGAAGCAGGTTGTTTATCTCAACAGTAGAAGTGATTTTTTTCTGAAGATATGGGTAAACAACGTGATTGAACAGCCTTTGAACGTGGGATATATATACAATGAGTGGCCTGATTATTATGACCACTCCATCAGTACTTCGTTGGGCCACCTTTTGCCTTCAATACTGCGGTGATTCTTCTTGGCATTGACTCCACGAGATGTTGAAAGGTGATGCGAGGAATCTGACACCATGCCTGATGAATAGCACTGTCCAGTTCTGTGAGATTTGATGGTTGTGGAACCAGCTGCCTGATGGCTCTTTT